CAATCAGTGGTTAAAGCATGGAACTTCACCAACAGAAGAAAAAATTATCAAAACACAGCACACCCATGATTGAATTTGAGAGGAAAACGAGAAAGAAGAGAAACATACCTTTTTAAGATTTCACTTGCCAATACGTCATAACTCTCTACCTTATCCTACCGTCTACAGCAATCTTTAGCTTTAAGGGTAACCCTCCTGAGCTTCATGGCATGAGTGAGGTACATTCAAATTGAAAAAAGAAAAAATGTAAGAACGAGAGCTTATTTTATTAGTATTTTTCTTTCGGCAAAATCCTATCCTATCAGTTAAATAATGGCCGACCAGTAAGATATTGCCAAGTAAGCTTCGGAGTTCGCTTCTGGCCCACCGACTCTTGCGTTTACAGAATTGAAATAGCAGTTTGATTTTATCATTGTGGGCCGGGCCGAGCTGAAAGCAGTGGATCTTCTTACCGGACTAAAGAGGGTTGAATCAATAATATTGGGACGGGTTCGATACGAACTAACAAATTCGAAACCGATTCGCTCTATGAAGAGTAAATAAAAAATTTTCGAACTATTTCGTGTTTGTTGGTTATTTAACCCGAACTACATCATGTCATTTTATTATATTAATATAAATAATTAAATTTATATTAAAAAATTAAAAATATATTTATTAGTATATATATAAAAAATATAAATATATTTATGAGGATAAAGACTTAAAACATATTTATACATATAATTTATCAGATTTGTAAGCATTTTAAAACATCACTCTAACCCTCTCTTTTTGTTTTTTTCCATCAATCATAACTAGACTCACTTATATAACTCGACTTTAATAAAAAAAATTCATATCATATTTTATTCTGATTGGTCGGATTAAATAGATTTACATACAAAATGAAATCCCTAATCATGCTAGTTTTTTTCAACTAATATCTAGATTAAAAAAAATTAGATCTTGCTAATTTTTATTAGGACCAATTAAATTTATTATTTTTTAATTTAATTGAAATATATTAATAAGATACTTATTTCATTCAAATAAATAATGCTATTGTAGCGGCTCCAAAAATGTAATTAAATGGAAGAGTATGCCAAGTTTGGGAGGAAAGCGAGGAATGCTCTGAGAGGGTCCCTTACACAATAACCAAAAACGTATTCAACGTATGAAAGAATAAACTAACTGAGATAATTACTAGTAATGAATGCTATAAATAAAACTATGAAATCCTTAGACGTCTACTCGTCGTCTTCATGCGGGACGGGCTCGGGAACAAAATCCTTCTGATCTGAAATGATTAAATAAGGAATGAGCTACACTAGTCCAGTAAAGACATCACACTATCTCACTGTCACAGAAGTAAAGGTCGGTAGAAAACAAAAACAACAAATTAAGCATAATTTATAACAAACTCATTTATTAATAATAAAAACCTTTATTGTCCACTTACCTCGGTGAGATTCATGAAAATAATATATGAAAACAATAACATTATAACCATCATAAAATCATATACACTTTGTAACATAACACATGTTATACTTTTGCACTTTAATAATCAGACAACAATTCTCCTCTTTTACCAGCCTACTAGTATCCATAGGGATCCATAAGGGGTCCCCGCTATACGTGAACTATTAACATTAATAACATGATTCTATGGCCGTCCTCATAACCCCGTCCGGTATGAGGGTGAAACGGGCCGTCCCCATACCCCGTCCGGTATGGGCACCAAAACCATAAACCTCAATATCCCGTCCGGTATGAGAGTGAAACGAGCCGTCCCCATACCCCGTCCGGTATGGGCACCAAAATACATAAGGTCTCCATATCCCGTTCGATATGAGAGACCGCGTTCTTAGTAAGGTTCCCTACGGATCCGGTCCGTCCACCATTTCCCAGGATATCTAGTCAGGTTGTCCACGTTATCCCTTTATCAATTTACATACCTTTTCTATTTTTTTTCTTAGTTTTCTGTTTCTCACGTAATCATGAATATTTAAACCAGTAACGAGCATCCAACAAGGCAGGCATATCATCGGATTCACAAAATCAAGCTATAATGAAGTAAACAGTGATTCATGTATTCAAAACCATAAAATAAATAGATCAGATACCATAATGCATTTAAAATTGTAAAATAACTAAAACAACAACTGACCGAAAATATATCAGACTCGGGCTCCATTAGCAATCTTAATTAATTATACATATTTATAAATTCATAAAATACCGTTTAATCATTTATTAACCTTTAATGTCGTGATAGGAAATAGGATGAGAGATTCTTACTTGTTTTGGGGTCTGAAATCTGCTCTACAATGTGCTTACAGACTGTCTCTAAATTCTCTGATTTTTTTCTGAGAAATTGAAACGCACTATCGGTACCTGCACGTGTCCCAAAAATTCCAAATCAGACCAAGGGCCCCTTTTAGGCCAATATCAGAATTCTGGCACGGCGGCTCCGCCGTGCTCCAGCGACGGCACCGCCGCCCGCGGCGGTAATCCGCCTCGGGTTGGCTGTGCTCCGGTGACTGTTTCTTCTTCTCCGGTGAGGGTACTGGTGGCTAGGGTTTTGGGTCGGGTGTGAGTGAAGTTATTTATAACCTTCCCCTTTTAATCTCAGCCGTTCATCATGATTTAATCTAGGTCGTCCAATCGCGATTAAAATAGGAATAAATATGGGTCGTCCATCGCGATGCGATCTGGGCCTTCCATGCATGATTCAATCTGGGTCGTCCGTACACGTGAGATCTGGACCGTTCGTGCACGTGAGATCTGGGCCATCCGCACACGTAAGATCTGGACCGTTCGATCGCGTGCACGCGGATCGCCCACGTGGCTCCGTCCTGCGTGGCCTCCCGCGTCAGCTTTCTTGCCACGCGGCGTGTTCTGGTTGGTCGGGGCTGCTGACATGGCTGCTGACGTGGCACAACTTTCTTAAATTGCGTTTTGACCACCAATTTCTGATTTTCTTTTCAAAAACACCACCAGAATCTAAAATTTCACCCTTTTTTTCAAAATCAATTTCAATTAGGTCCCAAAAATAATTTTACCATATTTTATCATTATTATTATTATTATTTTATTAAATTAAATTAAATTAAATTAAATTAAATATTAAAAAATTAAACTAAAATTCTAATATAAATTAAAAAATAAAAATAATAAGTTTGGGTGTTACAACTATACATAACATTTATAATATGCTTAAAATTTGAAACCATCTCAAATTCTAACCCAATCCAATATATTTTCCGTCATTCATCCAATTCCAATTCATGTTTATTGAAAATAAATACACAAAAGCAGTTAATAAATCTTTTTGTATGTTTATAATCATCATAATCGATTATATTATAATACTCGGGCTCGAAAATTGATCCGAAATAATTTTTTTACATTTATAAAATATATAAATAATTTATTTTGATTTAAAATTTATTAAATTATTGAGAAAAAATGAATTATGAATGAAATTGAAAATAATTTTAAAAAAATGGGTGAAATTTTCTATAAGAGAGATATTTTTTAAAGAAAATTTGAAAATAGGGGGTAGAATCATAAAGAGAAAAAATTCGGCCATGTGGGACGGCCCATTTAACAATCTCGGTGAACCAGAGGACGTCACATGACAGACACACTGACATTGGCACCACGAGGGAGGCCACGCGAGCGATCCGACGGTCCAGATCACATCCCACGCGCACGGATGGCTCAGATATATTTTTCCTTCAGGTGCGATCGAACGGTCAGATCCAATCCGATTGTGCGGCTCAAATTCATTCTCCAAATAAGAAGGATCCAACAGACAGGAGATGACCACGTGTCTCCACATGAATGGCTCAGATCGACTTAGAGAGGGTATTTAAACATCATGTTGTAGGGAACCATAACCATAGTCGCACCAATTCTTGCCAAAGAAGAAGAAGAAAGATGGCCGGAAAAGAACCTAACCACCATCGTTGCCTCACTGGAACCACCACCGATGCCAAAACATGTACTTTTTCCCCCATTCCCGTTTGGAATTTAAACTTGAGCCTCCATGTGGCTATATTAGAGCCAAAGGATCAACAGATAAGGTAAAAATCGCGAACAAAGCTCGGGTGAGCCGCTGTGATCAAAACCCGAAACCCTCTCCGATGACCCCCTTCTCGTTTTTTGTTTCACACAATTCTTTGAACACCGTGTTCACCGTCTTTTTCTGGTGCATGTTAGCCAAAGAGGTACTCCAATCGCAAAGAAGGATCGACAGAGCCGTTGCAATTACAGACCTCCTTGCCGATAAGTTTCAATTTTTGACTTTTTTAACCAACCAGGAGCCTAACATGTTTTTTCGTAGGGATACGTGTAAAATCGGACAAAACCAGCCTAAAACAGCCGAAACTAACCAGGACGAGGTAAACCAACACTGTGGACAATCGAGCCCATGCCGTAGCACGGCGACATCGCCGAACCATAACTTTAAAATTTGCCAGAAAAGTTTTTCAACACCAATTTTGTCCTTTGTGGTATTTTTGGGTATGTCACGGGTATTTTAATTTCTATAAAAAAAAATCAAGAAACTCGGAGACTGTCCGAAAGCACAGTAGGTAGCACGACGTTTTGAACACCGATATGAGTAAGAATCTCTCACCATATTCACTGTTATAGAAAATTAAGACTTAATAATCGATAATATTGTATTTTGTGAAAATTAAAAAAATCATAACAATAATTATAGGTCACTAGTAGAGGAGAAACTGGTCAGTGTACGATTGCCCTAACTTATCTGTGTTGCTTATTTATTTTTTCTATACCACCTAAATTTCTTATTATTCCATTGTGTGCTTTAAATTATTACTTTTAATTACTTTCTCGTTTATTGATTGTCTAATTATTATTTTTTCTGATTGACTGATTTGAAATAAAGAGCCTAATTATGTTTATTAATTGTTAAGATATGAAATTATATTGTTTACTTAAATTTCATTTAATTGATTTGTAAATATGAAATGAAATGTTGGTATACGATTGGTAGTTGTTTTATTGATGAGAATCTACATATAAAAGACTTACTAGGTATCATGGGAAAATGTAGACAGATTTGGTACATAAGAAAAATCCTACCGTAAACATTATCTCAGTCAGACGGGGCTGAGAAGTCCCATGTCGAAAGAGTTTGTGAGATATAATTCACTCTTATACCAAACGAGATATCGAGGCGATAGTGTGTTTGGCGCCCATTATTGGACGAAGTATGAGAATGACCAAGTTAATTAACAAATATAGGTATTGGGTCCACGAGTAGGAGAATATTCCTATGGACCCCTAAAGGTTCCAATAAGCAGGTAAAAAAGAGAATTACCGACCTTGCTTACTTGTACATGAAATTATAATATTATATGAGTATTTGTCTTATAGATTAGTTTTGGAAACTTGTAACGGTAATTATGGAAACAACGATTTTTATGTTAAATGAATTTACTTGAATTAAGGGTTTCATTAGTTATTTTATAATTTTTACCAACTTTCATTTTCCATATAAGTGATTAGTGTAATATTTTTATTGGAATAGTGTAGCTCACTCTTCTATAAACCATTTCATATTAAGAAGACCAAGATTCGGATCCTAATCAACAAGAGGGTTGCGAGTAAAGGTTACTTCCTGAACCCTATTAAAATTTCCATGGAGTTTAACCCCATAGGATTTTTGATTCATTTCTGTTTCTGTTATTTTAACTCTTTTTAGGGACATTTTTGTAACCCTATTGTGTCATGCTCTGATATTCGATATGAGGCGTAATTTCTGCTCATGTCATTTCATGTAGTGGGCCCATAAAATATATACATGCGTGGATAAAAAAATATAATACAAGCTAACATCCCATGTGATATATACGATAATTATATATACAAAACATGAGGTCATAATTTAGAGTTTAACATAACAAAATAAAACTTTTCGAATATACACAAAATATATAAAAACAAGAACCCTTTACAGTTTTTACTCATTTAGCAGCGGTGCTAGCTCTTCATTCTTCTCTGAAAAATATCAAGGTAAAATTTAATGAGCTTCACAAACTCAATAAATATTCTCATTCTCTCAACTCAAATAAAATTTCAAGCAAAACACACGGTAAGAAATAAAAGCAATAAAAATGTTTCAGTACAAAATTCATGTCTTATTTTTACTATTTCACATATTTCTAATCGATTTGATGAATTCTCTTGAATATCATATGCAAACCTTAAATGTATATTCTCATACTACTAAAAGAATATAAATACACTCGAATATCAATCGTTATTTTAAAACACAATCACACACACACAAAAGATCAGAAATACACTTGAAATGTCATTTCTATAGTTTCATCATGCGATACCATTTATGTCATCATTAAAGAAAGAAGAAATGGATCCCTCTATTGCATGGATAACACACACACAAATCACACAATGATTACAACAGGTATGTTTGTTGGGTGACCCACACTCACACGAATGCCTATCCACGTCTGGATTAGGTTTCATACTTTATCCATGTGCAAGTTCACCATGCCCGCTGAACTTCAGCTACACACACATACTCCCCTCTTTAATTCAGACTAAACGAGAAGGTATTTAGAGTCCCTACCCTATTCACTCCTACCCTCTCATTCCAAAATTCTCAATTTGTTTAAATGATCACTTGTTAACCTCAATTATTTTTTTTCCTTTCTATTTTTACATTTTTATTTTATTTCTTTTTTTTAATTTTTTCTTTATTGGGAATTTTTCTTTTCAATTTCAGATTTTATCAGTTTAAATAACTCAGTCTAAATAACTCTCAGTCTATTGGATCTGTTTTCTGGTTTTGTGTTCTCATAGGGTTTCAATTATTTAGATTTACTTATCATAATTTGGATTCTGTTTTTTATCAAAAATTGGATCAATGTCTGTTCAAAATTTAAAATTTAGAATTTAATGAAATAAATGCACTTTTCAAAATTCGAACCCAGTTGATATTTAGAAATATTTACTCTTTTACGCGTCTTTTCGGATTCACCTGAATGTCCAATTTTTTTTGTACACATGATATAATTTAATTAAAATACTTCGAAATACTAAAAATTAATTTAATCGAATTACACGTTCTAACGACCACGCAACAAAATACCTAAAATTATCAGAATCTGTATCCAAAAAACCTTTCGGCTCCCTGTTCGGCGAATCAGATTTCTATTTTTCAAGAAAGACTTTTCAACTTTCCAAACAGCAAGCTAGATTTTCATTTTTTTGAGAAATTTTTTTCAGTTTTTTGAACAACGAATCGGAACCGAAAATGGTGGATCGGGTTCCCATGCTCGGGGAAGACCCTTCGGCTTCCTGAATGGGTCAAAATTTTCCATTCCTGAGAAAACCTCCTCAGTTCCCTTGCGGATGAGTGGCCCGGCCGAGCCCACGTGGCTGGCGCGTGGCTAGCTCGACACCGGCCCCGCCCCACCGCCACTCAGCCACCACCAAAACACAAAAACAAAACGGTTTTACCTTCGATGCGAGTGATTCGGCCTTGGCTTGGCTCCCAATTGTCTCCTCTCAGCCACCCCCACGGCTCCCTAGCTTGGTTGAGACTCGGATGTGATTTTTCAAACCTACAAATTGATTAGTAAAGGAAATAAAAGAATCTAACAAAATAAGAAAAGGAATTATCGAAAAATAGAGATGAAAGGGATAAAACTTACCGATTTTTTGGACATCAACGTGTGCAGCTCGGCTTTGGATTTTGCCATCACACAGTGCTCCTCGGTCGTGATTCCTTTTCTTCTTCTTTCTCCTCCACGATTCTTTTTCTCTCTTCTCCCCTTGCGCGACCGTTCTCGGCTTCCCTTCTTTCCGCTCGGCCACCCTCTTTCTCTTCCCTTTTCTCTCATTTCTTTTTCCTTTCCTCTCTTCCTTTTCGGCCTCTCTCTTCATTCCTCTCTCTTTTCTCTCTCTTGGCTTCCCCACACGACCGTCTTCTTCCTCCTGTTCCCGATCGTCGCTCTCTCTCTTTCTCTCTTTCTCCCTTTATCTTTTTCGGCTTCTCTCCCAAATAAAGGAAACCCTAATCTCTTCCCCTTTTATACCTGTTCCCTGAGCCATTGGATCTTCATGACTCGATCTGAGTCATCTGTTCTCTTTTTAAATCTCAACCATCTAATCTCCTTAAGCGGTCCAATCTGGGCCGTCCATTTTCTTGATTCTCTTTGTCTCCTTCCACTTCCACTTGTTTATGTTTTTACCCAATTTTTTCTTACCTACTTTCATTTAAGTCCCTAAATTAATTAAAAGCCCTAATTTTTGAAAATTTATTTCATTTACATCCAAACTCCAAATGTTATTTACATTTCTTTTCTTTTTTTTTTCTCAGGTGGATATTATATATTGGACATTCCAAATTACAGTGTAAGAAATATAAACTCTAATTTTATTATTTGTTTCCGCATTTAAAATATAAATTCGTTTATTTTAAGTTTTAGGCTTTTTTACATATATATTCATAATTATCATAATTCATACAATTTATTAAAAATTAAAATCAATAATTAAAGAATTTATCTAATAAATATCTCTTTATTGATACAGTGGTGATAGACTGAGTCTAAAAGTATCTATTATGGCTCAATAATTTATCACGACAACATTACTGATGTTTACCGTATTGTCTTTACAAATTCTCGAAGAAGCAACTCAGTCTTTACATATAGTAAAGCAAATATCAGGTAAATATTAAATATTGTTTTTTTTAAGTAAATATACATGAAAATGATATGTGTTTAAGTGATTAAATTGGTTAACGAAATTTATTATTTGAGATAAAAATTTAACTCGCTAAAAAATTTAATTGACTAATTCAAGTCACAATAATGGATCGAGTACCATTAATCAAAGCTTTGAATTATCCACTACAGAGTTATAATACAATATAAATAAATATATATATATATATATACACATAGATATGTAGGGGCTAAATTGATGGTAGTTGTTTGAGTTCATAAATAGAATGCAATAAATTTATATGGCATATAATAGATAGGTGTGAACATCTTGGATTGTTGAAAATATAAAAATAAAATAAAAAGACTATTCACATTTCCAATAAGACCGCATTTAGTAGTTGATTTCTTTGTGTCTTATTTAAAAGTCACGAACTGTAATAATTAAATGATAATTATTTAAATTCATAAATAAATTACTGTACGTTGACAATACAAATAAAAGACTATTGGTATTTATAATAAGAGAGAATTTAGTCGTTATATATTTTTATATTATATTTAAAAATTATAAATTTAAATTTTATTAAGAATTTAAAATTTATTATTTTATAAATATATTATAAGTTAATAATGATTAATTTATAATATTTAATTTAATAAAATAAAAAATTTATTTTACTAATTTATTAGTAAAATTATAAATATTAATTTAAATTTAAATTTAACGAGTATATTATGTTTTTAAATTTACTGTAATTAAATTCTCTTAAATGATAACTAGGAGAAAAAATTTGATCTACGTTTCAGGACTATTGATTATTGACAGCCAAAAATGATTTAACAATAAATTCCCACACCCACCCACCCCGATATTCATGGTTGCTTCATAATTTAGAGTAGCTGAGTCAAT